TAAAATTTATAAAAGTTCGAATCAAAATATTTACGTTTTTTGACCCCTTGTGATGAAATACATTTTTCGACCCGAAAGCCGGAAGTTTTTTCGGCAAATGGTATTTTAAAAGAATCAAGACATATACACCTTCATAAATATTGCTTCAAATGTTCAATAGTCTGCTACGGATCCTTCATATTCGGAAGTCATACCAGGGACTATTACCTTAGCAATGCTATCGTGAAAGCCTGGTGTGACCGTCGCCTTTATGTGACATTTATGGCTTACTAAGTGAAGACTTTTTAGCCTGTTGTCAATGACCCCTGTTACACAGGCCAGTTGAAATGCTTCGTTACGAAGCAATTTGACAAAAAGCTTCGTAACGAAGCAATTTTGGGCCAGTGTAACACCTCTGCCTTCGTTGGAAAAGCTTAGTTGATAACGAAGCAATTGAGTAGAAAATTCAACGAAGGTTAGCTCCCAACGAAGCTTTTTTGGCCTGTGTAACAGGTAGCTTCGTTAGAAAATGCTTAGTTGGCGGTTTGCGCATGCGCGTAATAAAGAGCACATTCATCATTTTGTATTAAATGAGAGGAATCGCGAGGAAAAAACATGTTTCTAAGTACGTATTATTATAATGCTACGTTTTGATTAAAATAATTACCTATTTGCGTCACTGATTGACGCTAACTCAAGCCCTAAACGCCACGTACAAATGTGATTTACCGTCTTTCGTAGCATTTCATTCGATTCCCTGCCTTTCCTCGAATTGATATGACTAAAAAACGCAGGTTTTACCGTATATGTATACGGTATTTTGAAACGTTTATCTGATCTATTAGAGAATAAACCTAGAATATTTAAATGTCCCTCTTTCAGAAAACTACGTCTCAAGTGTGGAAGGGTAAACTTTTGAAATTACATAAGATATGCTTACTAAATAGAAAGTTGTGGCATACATGTTTAATATTAATTTTTTCTTGCGCCTCGAATAATTATACCTTGAATGTAATTCTAAAGGTGTTAATACCATGATACTGATACAATTGCTTCCCGGTGAATCATATCAGGGAATATAGCCGATTTGATTGATTCGAAAATGTCTCTCTTCAGAAATCGTATTCAACTGGCTATCGCCCCATTGCAATACATGTACTTGTACTAGTCGTTCCATTATTTTATTCCTCGACGATTTTAAATTGTAATTGAATTTAAACTTCATGTTTAAATATATTGAATTAATTACGTTTCAAAACTTCCGTATACAAATACGGTAAAACCTGCGGACAAGGAACGGTGGCCAAAATTGTTTCTTGTCGACAGATATTTGCCACAGAGAGGCTGCATGTTTTAGGCCAGCCCCAAACACTATTGATGTGTCGTAAGACGATGCTTACAACTGATATTCAAGTTTCTTCCTATTTGCGCCATTTTCGAATTCAACGGACGGCTGATGGATTAACATACTAATTTATGTCAAACTCACTCAAATATGCATGGAGTATTGGCGAGACGGGTAATATTCATATTAAAATGAATTAGTCATGAAATAGTAGTTACACGCGGTCCTAACTTCGACCGTTAATTTGAATTTTTGACCTACCGGATGTTTGAAAATCAAGGATTAAGAGTCTCATACTGCACCGTTTTTCTTCAAACTTGTTCCATTCAAAGCATAACAAAAATCCCTTTCTGATGGTACATTATTCTCTTAAACAGAGTCCCTACTTCCAGCTGCATTTTGGTCCCCAGTGGTAAGAAGGCCTTCTAACAGCTGGGGACCAAAACGCTGCTAGAACGAGGGACTCTTTACAATAAAGTAATGCACCGACAGAAAGGCAATTTTGTTTTGCTTTTAATGGTATAGGTTTGAAGAAAAACGTTGCAGTATGAGACTCGCAATCCTTGATTTTCAAGCATCTGGTAGGTCGAAAATTCAAATTAACGGTCGAAGTTAGGACCGCGTGAGTTAAACCACCAGCCGAACACCGAGATATCTTAGTAATGGCTACACTGTTTGAAATATAACTGAGAAGTCCATTTGGAAATGGAACGTTTTTATACGATATTACATACTAGTCGTCTGTATAAACCCCGAATCCAATTCCTCCTAGTAATTAACATAGGCCTATTTTTATTCCATATGTTTTCCAAAGAAAATGATAGAAAATGAAAACAATACGTGTAATCGTATTGACAGCTGAAATATATAAAAATCGAAATGATAGGAAAAATGTATGGACATGTGTACGGAATGATCACATTCATCTTGTTTTATTTTCCCGAGAGTTTTGAACTATAGTCTTTTTCTGTGCTGCTTTGTTAAAATAAAGATTAAAGATTAGATTTTTGACTTTGATCAATGGTTTATATCAAAAGAATAAAAATATTAATCATAATAAGTGGGTGGGGCAGATGAGTAATGCGCACGCGCAACGAAGCATTTTAAGTGCAGTGTAACACCAAATAATTGCTTCGTTAGGGTTGGATAAAGCCAGTGTGGACACAATTTTTTCGCTAACCTTCGTTACAAAAATGCTTCGTTAGACTCAACCCAGCAGTGTAACAGGTACCAATATTATTATATTTTTATGGGTAAATTGTAATGCCTACTCTAACAGTGACAACGTTGAAATATATTACAATACCTGGCATATACCTGCTATATGATATGCTATATTTTTTGTCAATCCCTGGTTTTTGTGACAATGTTAAAATATATCATAAAAATGCCTGCTACAGTATGTGCAATGTGGATTGTGAAATGACCATTCTTTGAAGGTGTTGCAACATAGTCTCATAATTTACACATGTTGTATTGTACTCTCATCCTCTGATGTGTGTGGCCTCTTGACAATTTTCACATATTTTAACATGGGAAATCCTCAATTAATCAAATCCACTACTCATTTATTAATCACTCAGACAAGAAAAAAAAATCAGTCAAGTTGGCAAAGTATCAATATTATCAAATGCATTCAATTCTTATTTTTGATAAATTAAGATATCACACGTGAGTATACACTGCTTCTGTTCATTATGATTCAATAGTCTATGAGGCAGGCCCGTAAGACACTTTTCTCCAAGGGGGGTGCGGTTTTTACTAAAGAGAATATAAAATTGTCAATTTTTTTGCCGCGTAAACCAAATCGCGTAAGTCAGAGGAGGGGGGTCGGTCACTCCCCTAGAAGATTTTACAGTTTTGAGATGCTATTTGGTGCATTCTGGGCACTTTCAAAGTGTATGAGTCAATAAGAAAAATGTGATTTTTTCAAATTCTTTTGGGGGTGTCAAAAAGGATGAGAGGGTGAAGTGGGGTGGGGTGCCAGAGGGGGAGCAAGGGGTCGTCCCCCAGAAACATTGACCATATCAAGGGGCAATTTGATGATGTCTGGGCACTTAAAAAATGTCTGAGACAAAACATGAAATTCAGAATATTTTCTTTTGTTTTGTGGGGGATGTTAGGGGTGGCTAACTCTCATAGAAAGTTTTACAATTTAAAGATGATATTTGGTACTTTTGGGCACTTTTAAAGTGTATTAGTCAATAAAAACATTGAAAAACAATCATACTTTTTTTCAAATTTTGGGGGTGTCAAAGGGGAGGGAGGGGTGCCAGAGGGGGAGGTGGGGTTGGGGTGCCAGAGGGGGAGCAAGTGTTTGTCCCCCATATCTGTCCCCCAGAAACATTTATGATATCAAGGTGCTATTCGATGAAGTCTGGGCTCTTTAAAAGTGTCTGTGCCTATTTCCCAAGAAAATTTTATCCATGAAGTGCGTCGGAACACTGGCGATTCCTATTCGGTACTATGGAATATATCTTATTATGCCTTCTAGGACGCTTATGCAAAGAAATGGTTTACATTCACTGGAAGCACGAGTTGGTACATACTTTGAACGTCTACCAGCAATTATACCATGATAACAGTTTATCTCATTAACTAACAGAAGGTCAAAAACTGCTCGGTGACATACTTTCCAGCGAGCGTTGAAAATGAGGTCACGTTTACTTATGCTTCGATTAGCAGTAATGCCCAACGCATATGGATAAACAACTAAGAAAATGTTGCAAACATATTTAGGCACCGAATGCGCCACTCTATATTCAGTCTTACCTTATGCTGTCAGAAAGTTTTGAATAATTGTCGACATCAACATCGTCTGTTGTCAAATTAGCCGCCATATTTGTCGGGATTCAGTAAAACACAACTCGGGTCACTGACTTGCTGGAACGAAATTCGGAACACAGGATATTGATCACCCGGGGTGAATATATACAAAACTGTTCTGATTCATCGACTGTTGTGGCTTATAGGGGGGAATGGGCGGCACAATTCCCCACTTTCAATCATGTGGGAAACCCTAGAACGCTACAATTTGAATAATATGGTGTTCAAGGTGATAGAGTCTGGCAAATCAGCCTTTGCAACGAAGCCCATAGTGTTATCATGATGTGCTCATTGTATGATTCTTTAACTATGTTTGTATACCTAGTGTTAGGTCATTTATGCAGCCAATTTTATGGTGGAATATTAATAGGAAAATACCTATTCTCAACAAACAATGTATCCTAATTGTTCAAACTGCAAACACGTTGCTACCCATTTGATATTTGTGCTTTATGCCCTCTGTGCAGCAAAGAAAATGACACCTTGGAACATTTCTTATTGCGTTGTGACGCACTTTCTCATGAGCGACATACACATACCATGCTTATAGAAAGTGAAGAGTGCCATACAATTAATGAAAAGTTGAGCTTCATTTTTGGTATAAATCATTTGAGTTTGGACCAGGAGAGCCTTGATTCTCTCTGTTCTGTTTCGATTAACATTCACTCTATGCATAGAGCCAGGGAGACGATGTTAAGGCATTTTAACTTTTTGTACCTTTTGTAACTTTTATATTACTCTTTTCTTTTACCTTATATCATTGTATACCATGTAACTGTCTAAATCAATAGACGCAAATAAAGAATACATACATACATACAAAAAGATTAAGTTACTATCGGTCAATGTATCTTATTTGATATTATATCCTAGCCTTATAAATATTACTTATAAATTATACTGAATTAAAAGTAGAAATAAATATTAACGTTTATCAATAGAAATTTAAAATTCGCCGTGTGGCTGCCGTAGGAATTGTGACTGCAAAAGTACCAGACCGCAGAAATTCTGCGGCGAGCGTATATATGTTACTGACCGCAGAAATGATAGACCGTGCGGTCGCCGTAGGTAATGTGACTGGGGTGTTATTACTGGCCAACGTGAACGCCCAGACACGTCATATGAATGTAAAATCGTTGGAGTATGAACTTATAGAGGTCATAATCATCTGCTAACACTTCCTTCATCACAGCAATACTTGCGTTGTTTGGTCGAACTTTATTGCGCCCAACATTTTCTCTCTTTTCCTTTTTTTGTTTGTATGCCACAGACAGTTCATTTTTAAACCGAGGTAAAATAGTTTCCATGGCAACCAATGTTTCTTTGAAATGCTCGGTTATTCCAATGAATGTATAATATTTCTCGATATTGGTTTTAGCTCTTTCAATAGACACCATGGAAGTATTGATGTCCATATATTTACCAGAAAACCACTCTGGGTATATTGGTTTTATATGTGCCCCTTTGCATCCAGAAAATGGCCTTGTGTTTAAACACGCTGCGGTTTCCTTCACGTCTCTGCCCTCGCAATTAGTCTGTCGTATCCAAAACTGAAGGCAGTAGCCAAGAGTTTGTTTAATCTCGTCAGGTGAAAGTTTCAGTCGCTTCCTTAGGGCCGAATTTGACGTCTGGTAGTAGTACAAAGATATCCACCTTTCGACGGGATCTCGAACCAAGTCTATGAATAAAGGCTGCTTGTATCCTAGCTCATTAAAATCAAAGAATCCTAAATGTCCCCTAAAGATGTATGGCTTCTTTGTGAATGGTAGAACTTGTGTTTTAACAAATTTCTGCCTTCTTGACAAGTCGGTTACCTTTAGTAGATTCTGTATCACCAGAGGCTTTGTATAATGCGTTGAATACTTTTTAGAAGAATCGCAAGCATTTGACAAAATCTGCATGAACGTTGTACTTGCACATTTGGGTACTTCGGTGTAGATGATGAGATCTTCATTCCGGTTTTCTTTTGAATATCCTTTCAGATTGAATCCTCTGTCACAGGTTAGATTTACCTCTGTCTTTCGTTTATGTACACCCATCCCAGATGGTGTCACTTGCCTCAGCAATCTCCAAACTGAAAATTGCAATACGATTGCAGTTGTTAAGATAGCGATCGCGAGTACCTTGTATCGAAAAGAACATGCCATTTTCGGAACACATTCGAATAAAGTAGTACGTTTATGTTGACTTTTCTATGCATCTTTCATTTTTCGTTAACATTGTGACTCTTTTCACTCAAAACCGCTTAAGTGTGAAATTAGTTTTGATAAAAAGTGAAAACAATTCTAAAATGTTTTTTTCAAATAGACATATAGTATATATCTGTATACATTTGTACATTCGTTACCCAAGGCATTAAAGTAAACCCCAAGGAAAAATAGGCGAATTTTCAAATTGAAATTAGGGTCCGTCTCAAACATGTCGATTTTCACATCTTGACCCCCTGATTAATATGTCAAGCTATTCAAATTAGAATGCAACATTTTCAAAAAAACCAAGACATTCCTCATGGTACTTAACTGTCCTTTGAAATCCCAAATGGATTTGGACTGCAAGCTCTTTCTTTTTGATGTGCATTACTGGTCAACATAAACCAATGAAATCTATCATTTTCTCGATTTTTTTACTTACCCTTTGTTTTTCATTTCAATAAAATTGAAAGGGTCGACTTTATTGAAACATGAATCGATGCGATCATGAAAAATGATCCTAAAGACAATAAAAAATGATAACAGTTTTATTTGGAAAGAATTGATCATTACGCTAGTTCACTATTCATCCGCATGTCGATTTTCACAAGACAATTAGAAACAAATGACAATGATTTAGAAAGTTCACTTTAGGGAACGCTTACTTCACAAATCGACATTTTTGATATGTAAGATATAACTAGCTGAATTGAGAAACATCCAGTTTGTATTTGTAGCCACGTAGGACCACGTTTATGTAAAATTTCCCGTCAAAACCCGACATACGTAAAACATGATTTGCAGAATCCTGTCGTGTTTCACATTTTATTCTAAAATATCGTCAAAGAAAATAAACGTAGGACATGTACGTATTACGTCTTCAGTGTATATCCACTGAACACATCTTTTCTACATCCGTTTCACACCCCAACTTTACCAAAACATTGCACTGATTCATGAAACTAGGGTTTACATTTTTAGATTGAATGACTGAATTGGATGACTGATGCCATGTCCTTAAAATAATTTTTTGACACCCTTGGTATATGTTTTCCCTTTTATCTCATATACCAGGTATGGTACCTTGACTTGTTTTTACAATTTGAGTAATTTTTCCTTTGGATTCAGCTTTTAATGCATGCTTAGACCAGTTGCGGGTTGACGTAGTGACGTTTTCCCTGAATGTATCACAACAACAGGACAACCATTTACGTAATATTGGAGTACAAACAGCATCTATCTAGATATCTACATCTGATATGTCCCTTTAACATATTTAAATCAAGAACTCGATCCTTGAGTGTACGTTATAAATTGAAACATATGATATTGATGTCGAGTCGATTCCAGTAAGGCTGAAGTATACGTATAAAGTTAACGTATACATAAAAATATTGGGCGAGACTTGAGATAATGTATTTCAGTCAAAATTGAAACTTCTGATTGGGTTCGAAGCCGAGATGCCCGGATATGACCCAGCAAAAGCCGGAATTCACGTGATTTTTCACGAAGAAGGTGCGGAGTTTTTCCATTTCATCGGTTTTTTCCTAGATCTTGAACGTTTATGGAGTTATTTCAACCATTCTTTGTCAGTGTACACCTCTCGCCAATATTCATCTTAATCACGCGTGTTAATAACCTATTGCCGAGTAATTTATTTTTTTGATTTGACAAAAATTCGATCAGAAACTACCTATTACGAAAAACTCCAGTGATATATTTTAGCTAGGCTTGGTCCAAGGGGCCCGTCTTAAGTGCGTGTTGAATTAAATGGAGCCCGGGTGAAGAGTTTGAATTATGTCGATTATTCGATTGTTATATATAAATAAACATCGATCTTCGGCGAAGATAAAATAAGAACAACATATATATCCGAGAAACATGTTGGTAAGTACAGTATTTCATTTATAATGGCAGAAAATCAAATTGAATCGAAATCGAATTTTCAACTTTTTCAATTTTTTTTCGTTCGATTATTTTGATTTTCAATTTTATTTTTACATTCCATCTTCTTCGTCCTGCGGGACTATACTAGGCATACGCCCGGAACATGTATAACATTGAGTCAAATTCACTTATAGAACATGCTGTAAGCTTTATTTCTTTACATTTTTACGGGCCTATGCCTGGGCTATGACTCTAGGCCTAGACTACTAGATCTATAAAACTTAGACTAGCCTAAAGCTAGAGCCTTAGATCTAGCTCTTTCAGAGGCTGTGACTGATCTGTTAGAACAGCCTCTAGAGCCCCCTATCAACCGCTTCAAAATTGTGTAAGTGTCCTCTTTGCGAAAATCGAAAAAAATTAAAAGGTGCTTCTGTGCCGAACAGCAAATTCTCATTATATGTTGAGAAGATACTCTTTACCAAGAAACCAAAAATGGAAGTTTGAAGACATGACGTACAAGTCAAAATCTCTGAATCTTGCTTGGTACATGACAGATAAAGAGAATTTAAATCCTGATCGGCAAAGAAGCGGCTAATAACTTACATATTTTCTCAACAAAAAGCACTGATGTAGCTCACATTGGGAGATAGAAGTAAGCACTTAAAGTTGATTTCAGTAGATCAGTTACACCTGTCATGATTTCAAGGAAAGACACAAAGTATCCGTCAAAAGAGAAAAGCTTACATAAATGCGAGCAAAATCTGCAGATTTATTATAGCTATTGACTTCTCGAATATGTTGAACGCACAACTCTAAACAATACTTGAAATTGAATAAAATTGACAAAATATGAGAAGACAGTCTAAAACCTAAATGGGAGAGCTGCCATTGTTTGCCCGGAAATCTTCAGAGATTTTGACTGGTACTTTGTGTCTTTCCATCAAAATTGCCATTATGGTTTCTCGCTGGGTAATTCACAGATGAAGAGAAATCTGATAGCTGACAGCTTTTCTTAAACAGAAGATAAAAGAAGATATAAAAAAACTGTTATGATTTTGAAGCGGGTGATAGCCGATAGGGGGCATGTTAAGGCTGTAAGTAGAGAGTGTAGCAATAAATCTAACCCAAATAGAGTTTAACACATCTCAGTATAGGCAAAATTAAAATTCATTAAAGTTTCATCACTTTAGCATGTGTACATTTGCTGGCCTTCTAATATTTTGCCAATAGATTTGTTTGGCTTCATTGCAAATTCTTATGAAATATATGAGTGTATGGTTTCAATGTACTGTACTCCCGATATTTTTCGCGTGCAATTTAGTTTCGTGCTTTTTGCGATTGTGTAAAAATCACGAAAATTAATAGTCGCAAATATCGCCAATTAAAGGCTGAGGTGCAACATGCCATTGACTTAGATCTAGAGATTGTAAATCTTATCCAAAGTATATGATATTGGGTAGGTGTAATTACTGTAGATAAGGTAAATTAATTTTGAGGATTCAGAGAATAATGGAAGTTAAACCTTTGATATCCGCAAAATTTAATGGCCGCAAAATAGGTATTTCTCAAAATTCATGAAATTTAAACTCGCAAATTAACCGGTAGTACAGTATTTGCATGTGGAATAATTATGATATTGAGAGCATTGATGAAACAAATGCAATGAACTGATTTGATTGGCCAAGGGAGCATTGGAATTTTGACCTGAAGTTCACATGATTGTTGCTATAGGCCTTATGACTTTTTGGAATTCCAGTAATACTATTAATGTCTATTATACTTACACAGTAAAACCTGTCTAATCCAAATGCCACCGCTACCAATTAAAAACATTCCGATTTAAACGTCTGATTTCGAGGTTTTTGCATCCGAAAGATTCTTGATTTTGAAAAAATATAAATGCATTTTCACTTAATATTACTATAATAATGTTTATTTCAAAACTTCTAAGGCCACAGGCCTCCTAGTTACAGTTAATTTTCATACAATTTTAGACAGTGATAAGCAAAACAACTTAAATTACAAATTAAGTTTTCATTTTCAGTTGACATTAACTGTATAAATTTTACCATATCTGGTCTATAACAATAATAATCTGGCAAATACATTTTTCTTAGAGATCTGAATTTCTCACATATCATAACCATGTGGTACTCATCTCCAATAATATTAACATTTGCTGCTAAACAGAACTTACAAAACCGTAGTTCCCTGGGCACATTATTTCTTCGACCCATTTCAATTTCTAATGAATGATTACTACATCTCAATCGAGTTAGAGCAACTCTAAATTTCTTTATATTTACACAGGAAAGATATTTTTCTCTTTCCATCACTGTTTTAATATTACAATATGTTACCATTTTTGGTAATTCTGAAAGTCTAGCAGCCCACTCTTGACAGTAAATGTCTTTTAGCCTCTGCTTAAAACTTAAAATAAAAAAAGGTCCACATCACCTACTTCTTTGAAAGCCCAAACATCACCAAAGCCATTTGTACACAATAACTTTCTAACATGTGTTGCCCATGTAATATGGCCTGTTGAATCAAGGTTCTCTAACATAGAATAACAATGTTTTGGGATTCTCCCATTTTCCATCTCCATATTTAGTTTTAACCAATATTTTACACATTTTGACATATATATTGTACATAATGGGTATCGTCCACATTCCCCTAGAACTGCCTCATTTGTTGTTTGTGATGCAACTTTAAGAAATGATTTACAAAATTTTCTTTGAACCTTTTCCACTTGGTCGTAAACTTTAAAACCCCGTATTTCTGAGCCATATGTTAAAATAGGAAGCGTCAGAGAATCAAAAAGTCTGAATCCCATTTCAAATGATAATGAGCCACCTAATTTTGAGATTTGGTTTATGACATGTAGTGACTTTCCACCTTGATTGGCTAGTGTTTTGGTTGCGACTGACCAGTTTAACCTAGAAGAAATCATTAAACCCAGATATTTGTAATAAGAAACTATTTCTACATTTTTACCCTTGTATAGCCATTTTTATCCTTTTTAACAATACCACCATTTCTAAATACAATGATTTTAGTTTTCGAAAGGT